TTACTGCTGAGCTTTGGGCTTGTCTTCATGGTTTGAAAATGGCCTACGATCATGGACATAGACAAGTCATTCTAGAAACTGATGCGACCACTGTTCTCGAACTCATTTCCATGAAGCTAACTGAGAATCATGCAGATTGGGATATAATCAAACAAGTGCAAGCCCTATTACAGAGAGAGTGGGACGTCCAAGTTGTCTATGCGCATAGATCTAGTAATGAGGCTGCTGACTTTCTCGCCAAACAAGGATTGGATAGTGTTTACGGTTTTCACGTAGTCGTTGAACCCCCTCCTGACCTTGTTGTAATCCTGAATAATGACTGCATTCCTGTGCATGCAATCACATAGGCTCTAGAGCTAAGTTCCTTTGTTATCAAAAAAAAAAAAAGGAGAGGAATTTTTTTTTTTGGGGTTACGGATTGATATTCTCCTACTGAAAGTAATTTTATTTGTTAGATAATAAATATAAATATCTCTTTTAACAAAAATTTGAATATTAATTTGTCACTTTATGAGGGATTAATCCCTTCTATTAGATCTAATTCTATTGTAGATAAAGTATTCTTCCAATCCTAAATATAAAACTTCTTTTACAATGTAAATTACACTATAAAAGAATTCTTATATTTAGAACCGGACGAGCATGATTTTGTTGACAATATAAAACCCGCACAAGAAGCTTGGTTTTGAAATTAATGTTGATACGTGATTGATGTTAATTGTGGGGTTGCTCTTGACATGACAAGCGTTTTGGAACCAAAATCAACTAAAGCAGAACCATGAACGAGAGGCATAGATATCAGTTCATTTTCCTCAAATAACCCTTACATTTTCACATAATTACAGTTGCAGCACATGATCACAGGTGATTTCCGAGTCTTTTTAAGACTAAAGTCCCAAAGCACGATAGTTGCGCTGATATCAAAGGCAGGGGAACTCATTCTCTAAGAATAATTTTCAGAGGCCCCGCAGGTTCCTTCAAGTGCCGTAAAAGTGTCCATCACACAAGGGCTTTCCATTTAAAAAAATTAAATTTATTTGCTAATAAAAATTAGCCAAATTGATAAAGTAACAAACATACAACTTATAACTGTAATAATACGGGTTTAAATTTCAATCCCAAAATGAAAAATATGAAAATATATGCCTATTTCAACTAGCTACGGAGATCTGATTTTGCTTCGCACGAAAAAAAAAATAAGGAAAATTTTTTTTCTCCTAAAGTATAAATTTTTTCTAGCGTAAAATAGCATCCAATATCTTAATCTTATTTATAGTACATATGATGCCCCAGTATTATTTTTTTCATGCTTTCATAACGCTAATATTATTCATAATGCATCTAACATTCATTCTAAATAATAAATAAGATTATAGTGCTAGATAAAATTGAACAGGAAAATAATATCATGATGTTAGATGGGTTACAAATAAGATTGGGATTTTTGGATGCACCTAAAAAATAATATTAAGATGTTAGATGTATCATAACTATTTTATATGCTATAAATGATTGTCAATTACTTTTTAATGACAATACGTTGATCGTACAAAAAGTGGCTATCTAATGATTTAACTTTTGGTTATCCAATGGTTTAACTTTTCTTTTTAAAATAATAGCATGGTTCAACTCAATGAAAGGAAGACCATTTTTTTCAAAGAGGTGAGTTGTCATCACGGAGAAAGAAAGAAAGGTCTCATGTGCATCGGCAAATATAAAAACATATTAATCGACAATATTGACCCTCTCTTTTGATTTCCCCCAGAAAATGATAAATAAATAAATAGTAGTAGACAAAAATAAATTACATGCCAACCACAATTGTTTTCTATGGAATCCTATACTTAAATTCTTTAGTTATTATTATATTTTTATACTCGGACCTTTTACTTTGTTTCTAAAATGCAGTTTCAGATTAAATAATTTTTTGAACTTAATAATACAGGAATTTTCTCATGAGTTACAACTTTCAGTTTGCAGACTGGAGTAAATACTACTACATTCTCTTCTTAATATAAGAGCCAATTTGATTTTTAGTTTGATCATAAATATAAGACCTCAATTCATTTTGTCTCTCATATTTATATATTTTTTCAAAATAATTATTATAATAATAGTAGTTCTAACCAATATACTTGATTAGCAAGAATATTTTTAAAAAAACAATACCTATTTATTATAAATAACCAGCAGCTAGCTTAACTAGTTTTTTTAATTTACTCAAATTAATTAACTAACTCTTACATTAAGGATAAAAAATAATAATAAATAGCCTTGGTCAACAAAAATAATTAACAGACCATCAACTTCTTTACAAAGCTACGCTAGTTGTTTCACATGCACAGCACCTCATTTAGAGTGCCAAACGTGGGAATAAGATATTATATAACGTAATATGATTATCTATAATACAACTATATAAATATATAATAATGTCGTGGGCAAAAAACTATATAAAATAACATCTGCATAAACTTTTACCAAATGTCTGTGTGATTTTACACACATGATATAATACTCCTACGATCCTTAATATAGAACCTAATTTTTGAGTTGGTTTTGGTCTTAAATATAAGACTCATTTCTCATATTTATCAATTTTCTTTAAATTACCCCTATGGATATTCCCTAAACTATAATCAAGTAGAAGAGGGAGAGGGAGTATTAAGAAAGATAACTATGGTGTTTTAGGAAAAATGTGTCACTTTTATTATAATTAATGAACTTATCTAATTTCTTTAATCTAATCAAATTAGTTAAATGGGTCTTATATTAAGGATCGGAGGAGTAGCTCATAGTAGATTTTGTGCGAAAAAAGAAAAAGGCATTCCGTTAAATCATTATTAAGTAATTTTGTACCCAAGGAGATTTTTAAAAAGTGATCCAAACCAACCATTTAGTGGGCATTTGCAAGTAACGAAAAAAATACCTGTACATTTTGCGAGATAGGATTTTTTTTCACATTTGTATCCTGAATAATACAAATTGTATTAAAATAAAATTTCCATAATATTGAGTAATCCTTAATTCATCTCAAGTTGGGAATTTGTCAAACCTGACGAAGCTGAAAACAAAAGCCCCATTTGGTAGTTCATCGGCAAATGGAAAATTGAGAGGAATCCCTTATCCTAGCCTTTGGGACACTCCACTCTACGTGGTGCAAGTAGAAGTGAGTTTTAATATTAGAGAAAACTATGGTTCAAAATATAAAACATTTTCAGGATAATTACTGTGATTTTTTTTTTTACTTTCACTCGTATTAAATAGAAGAGAGATAAGAGATAATAAAAATGTAATATTAAAGGCAAATTTATCATTTTTGGGGGGTAAAATAGGAAAAATTTATCATTTTAGGACATATTTAATGACTAAACTTTTATATTTTGGCATGTGAGAAAGTTAACCAATTTCTTATACTCCTTCCATCCTTAATATAAGTCCTAATTGAAAAGTTAATGCTGATCCTATATGTAAAACCTATTTCACATGTTTATTAATTTTTTTTCCAAATTAACAATATTGATATTCCTTCAACAATGATCAAATAGTAAAGGAAGTGAGGGAATTGAGAAAGATGCTTAAGGTATTTTAGGAAAAAAAACATATCATATTACCTTCGGTTCTTAATATAAGAATTCACTTGCCAATTTTTATTTATTTTCGTCATAAATATAAGACCATAATCCACTTTGTCTCTTATATTTATTTATTCATTTTTAAAATAGTCCTTGTAATAATAGTAGTTTTAACCAATATATTTGATTAGCAAGGATATTTTAGGAAAGACAACACCTATTTATTACAAATAACTAAATTAACTAGTTTTTTTAATCTACTCAAATTAATTTTTATGTTAAAAACCGAAGGTAGAATTAACTAATTAACTAACATTATTAATTTATTCAAATTAATTAATTAAATCTCGTGTTAAGAATTGAAGGAGCATTATGGGTTAGTAGTTGAAAAGGAGTTGCACTAGTTTAATGATATGAGACTCTGAGTCTTTAGATAGTTCTGCACAATTAATTTTTTAACTAGTGACTTTTAATCAATTTTTTCTAATTATTTCTATTACGTTTTATTCATCAATTATTTTTCACTTCCATAGTTTTCAATTTTGCATCCCAAACAAGGCTGAATGTTGAGCTCGCGGAGTTGAGAATTTGTGCTAACTTGAGTATAAGCTGTAAGAATCTATAAGTTGGCAAAAGAAAAAGAATCTAATTTGTCAAAGTTTTTTTAAATGTCAATATTACATATTACTCCTCCGGTCCTAATTATAAGACCCAATTGACTTATTTGAGGAGATTAAGGAAGTAAGTTAAGTTGGTTATTTATAATAAATAAGTGTTGTCATTCTTAAAATATCCTTGCTAATTAAGTATATTGGTTTAAACTATAATTATTAGAAGGATTATTTTGGAAAAAAATCCATAAATATAAGAGACAAAATGGATTGGGTCTTATAATTAGGACCAAATAAAAAGTCAAATTGAGTCTTATAATAAGGACCGGAGGAGTAATTGATACAATAATAAAATAAGTAGTGTACGTTTGTTTTTTTTTTTTTTTTTTGGGGGTTAAACGTTAGTGTGCGTTCAAGCACGCCGAATTAGACCATAGTCATGCCCTTGGGATGGCCATAACGGAGAAATTACCGTTTAAACCAAATCTGGTAAGATTCTTCCCATACCTAAGAAGGCGGATACGTCGTGGTTGGGAACGATTCCAACCAATACGAATTCTCATCTTAGTCGGTGGTCCAATAAGGTCTAGCCAGAGCAACGTTTCCTCTGATCCCGTCCACAGAGGATTAAAATCGTTCACGCGCTTACCGCCTGATTTTCTAATCTGGCGAGGGCCTCGTTTTGCCCAGCATGGCAACGTAGTTTTTGGGACCGAGCGAGGACTTTTTGGTCACTTAAGTCAATTTTCAAAGCTTAACTGTCCAGCTCGAGAATTGCAGAGGCGTATATATGTACATATACTCTCCGCTTTCTTTCCCTCTCTGTAAGAGGCTCCCATCATTGCGAGGTTGCTTCTTTCATATTTTTGTCTTTGATTTTTCTTTCCTTCTTTCTTCTTCAATCTTCGGATCATATTCATAGGGGTGGATCTAGTGCCATTTTGTAAGTTGATCTAAGTCTCTGTTTCTATAAAAGCTGTCTCTTGTTGTGATCCGTGTACTGTTCACGTCCCTTTACGTGTTTTTTCTTCTGCTGAATGCTAGTGATAGTAGGTCTAATGAGAATTATTCATGATCTCCTTTTTGTTAGATCTGTTATGATTGAGAAGATAATCGTCGTTGGTCATACTACTTGGATCAGCCCTTTCGGACATTTGAGCTGAAACGAGTGAAATATCAGATCTGTATATGAATCTTGAAATAGATTTTGATTTGCAATTCTAAGTTCTTCCGTACGTATGGATCTGATTAATGTGTTAATTACGTTTTGCACTGCCACTGATTGTGCTTAATTTTGAGTCCTGATGCGTCTTTTTTTTTTGGGGGGGGGGGTGTTTCCTTCTTGTATTATTTTTGCGCACTCCGTTTCATAGATATTAGATAGATAGATTGATTGATTGAGAGAGAGTCTATACTACTTTATCGTTTGTTTTTCTAGTTATTGAAGGTTAGCCAGCGATTGGTAATAACTCGTTTTTTTTCCCAAAGAAAAATTGTGTTATATTTAGTAGTCCATTATTTCCGCGAGAATAGGAGGAATGAATTTTAGATCATTTTCTTACTAGTGGACAATTGCCTCATCGTTCTGTACCGTTGAGATTTCAGCTTCGATTTTTTCTGATTTCTCTGTTTTTATTGTAGGATTTGCTTGTAATGGCCACATATACCCCAAAGAATATCCTCATCACTGGGGCAGCTGGATTCATTGCATCTCATGTTGCGAACCGGCTCATCCGGAACTACCCTGACTACAAAATTGTTGTTCTCGACAAACTTGATTACTGTTCTAATTCTAAGAACCTCATTCCTTCAAAAGCATCTCCCAACTTCAAGTTTGTGAAGGGGGACATTGCAAGCGCCGACCTTGTCAACTACCTTCTTATCACAGAGTCCATAGACACAATAATGCACTTTGCTGCTCAGACCCATGTTGACAACTCGTTTGGTAATAGCTTTGAGTTCACCAAGAACAACATATATGGTACTCATGTTCTGTTAGAAGCCTGCAGGGTCACTGGTCAGATCAGAAGGTTCATTCATGTGAGCACAGATGAAGTCTATGGGGAGACAGATGAGGATGCTATTGTTGGGAACCATGAGGCTTCTCAACTTCTTCCCACAAATCCATACTCTGCCACGAAAGCTGGTGCAGAAATGCTGGTCATGGCATATGGTAGGTCATATGGGTTGCCTGTCATCACAACTCGTGGAAATAATGTCTATGGGCCCAATCAGTTTCCTGAGAAGCTCATTCCAAAGTTCATCCTCTTAGCTATGCAAGGAAAGCCTCTTCCAATTCATGGGGACGGTTCGAATGTGAGGAGTTATTTATATTGTGAAGATGTTGCAGAGGCCTTTGAGGTTATACTTCACAAAGGAGAGGTTGGTCATGTCTACAATATTGGGACGACGAGAGAAAGGAGAGTTATTGATGTAGCCAAAGATATATGCAGACTTTTCTCAATGGACCCAGATTCTAGTATAAAATTTGTGGAGAACAGACCATTTAATGATCAGAGGTACTTTCTTGATGATCAAAAGTTGAAGAACTTGGGTTGGTCTGAGAGGACCCCTTGGGAAGAAGGGCTGAAGAAAACCATAGAGTGGTATACCAAGAATCCTGATTGGTGGGGTGATGTCAGCGGGGCATTGCTTCCTCATCCAAGGATGCTGATGATGCCGGGAGGGCTGGAGAGACATTTTGAAGGCTCTGAAGAAGATAAGCCGGCATCCTATGCCTCCACTAATACTCGAATGGTGGTTCCATCATCTAAGAGCACTAGCACTCAGCAGAGAAATGCTTATAAGTTCTTGATCTATGGTAGAACAGGATGGATTGGGGGTCTGTTGGGGAAGCTCTGTGAAAAACAAGATATCCCATTTGAATATGGAAAAGGGCGCTTAGAGGATCGCTCATCACTCTTGGCAGATATCCACAATGTGAAGCCTACACATGTTTTCAATGCTGCTGGAGTGACTGGCAGACCCAATGTTGACTGGTGTGAATCTCATAAAGAAGAAACCATTCGCACCAATGTTGCTGGTACTTTAACACTGGCCGATGTCTGCAGAGAACAGGGGCTCTTGATGGTAAACTATGCCACTGGGTGTATATTTGAATATGATGCAGCACATCCAGAGGGTTCTGGCATTGGTTTTAAGGAGGAAGACAAACCCAACTTCACTGGTTCTTTCTATTCCAAAACTAAAGCTATGGTAGGTTTACTTATTTGAGATGATTTTTTCTTTCCCACTGCACTACTGTTGCCAAAATAGTAACTTTTAATATTGAACAGGTCGAAGAGCTTTTGAAAGAATATGACAATGTGTGCACTCTCAGGGTTCGCATGCCAATTTCATCTGATCTGAGTAATCCACGCAACTTCATTACAAAGATCACTCGTTACAACAAAGTGGTTAACATTCCAAACAGCATGACTATCTTGGATGAACTTTTGCCCATTTCAATTGAAATGGCAAAGCGAAACTTGCGTGGCATCTGGAACTTCACAAATCCTGGGGCTGTGAGTCACAATGGGATCCTTGAGATGTACAGGGATTACATTGATCCCGACTTCAAGTGGGTTAACTTCACACTTGAAGAGCAAGCCAAGGTGATAATTGCTCCAAGAAGCAACAATGAGATGGATGCATCCAAGTTGAAGAAAGAGTTCCCAGAGTTGCTTTCCATCAAGGAATCACTGCTCAAATACGTCTTTGAACCAAACAGGAAAACCCATAAAAAATAGGCAGCCTCTTGTTTTGAGGCATAAAAATAATCTCTGCATCTTGTGTTGGGCGACATTGTGTTTATTTAATTAGATTACTTATTTTTAGTTATTAGTTCCATCCAATTATTCTGTGTAGGTTGGGGAGGGGGTTGCTAAGCATTATAGTTCTGTTAGATTTGGTTCTTCAAGTTTTATTCCTATAACTTTTTTGTAGTCTTAGCGTCATGTACTTCTCGGAGTCTTGCTTGTATGTTTTTATACGATATTTGATCTGGTAACAAGCAATTGATGTATTCTTTTTTTCCACTCAGTCTTTGTCCATCTTGTTGGTAATACTTTAACAAGAACTATCTCCGGTCCTTAATATTAAATCTTATTTGATTTTTATTTTGGTCTTAAATATAGAATTCCAATATATTTTGTTTTTCATATTTATATTTTTTTTTTCAAGGTAGTCCTTCTAATAATGATAGTTCTAGTCAATACATTTGATTAATAAGGAGATTTTAAAAAAGACAGTGTCTATTTATTATAAATAGCTAACTAAATTTATATTCTTAATCTCTTCAAATTAGTCAACTAACTATTATAATTAAAATCAGAAGTAGTATTTTTTTTTTTCAATTTTTATCAAGAATTCATGAGGACAAAAAAGGCCTGGCTAGATACTAATCTGGTCGGGCTGAAAAACAAGTTTTTTTTTAATTCTTTATAGATAATAAATACTGCATTTTGTCGAGAAATGAATGCTATTGAGAATGAGATAATCATTTCATTTCCTTCTATTTGTGTGAATTTCTGGTGTTACGTTATAGAACACGGACCTCACATAAAATGTGCGTCTTAACCTTAGTAGCCAGCAATCCTTGTTACCTATTAGATGATATAATATGAAGTCCAAACTATGATCAACGCTAATTCAAATTCATTATCTTCACTGGTCTGAAGAAAAAAGAACTAGAAAATTCTATTAATGGAAGCTAGCTGACTGCTAGGTGCCAGTTCTCTGCACCGCAGTACTTCTACCATTCGCGAAGTCTTGCATTCCGCGAGGGGCTCGGGAGGCGCGAATAGGTTGACTTGTGGTTGTGGAGAGATTGCGAGGCTAATTTCGGTGAGATGAGTGCCAGATATGTGTGACGGGAGTATTTAATTATTATGCAAGTATATATTATAGATAATATTAAAATACTCTTCCGGTCCTAAATATAAAATCTTTATACTAGTGTGTATAAAAGTCTTATATTTAGAAGCGGAAAAGTAACATTTATCAACCAATACAGTGCCAAAATTGGCTAGAATTTATAGGTTCGGTCGGTTTTCTTACTGAATTTTTTCTAGGCTGATTTTAAGAATCAAAGTTTTCATTATTAAATTTCTCATTAAAATCATGCCCAAACTTATGCACTAAATACTTCGCACTTAAAAAGAAAGAGAATTAGTTTTTGAAGTTTCTCTGATGATTTTTTGTTATCGTAAGCAATTTGTTATTTTTATTAATTTTAAAATAAAAGGAGTAACAATCATCTACGTCATTCATCACTAGCTTCACCAGATGAACACGTAGCATCAAATATAAAAATTTATAGAACTATTTAAATGTATAGTTATCCTTAGCTTGAAGCGGAAGACTTGTTAAAAGGGTGAGGGAAAGAATAGTGAAGCATGTATGAAGAACTAATTAAGATTATATCATATATGTACAATAAATAGTTAAATACTGTGAGATAAAGATGACATTAGAATTAGGATGCACCTAATTTTTTTTTGAAAAAAATGGAAGCATCCCGCGTGAATTTTAATTAGTCGATAAATAGTTTGGAGAAGATGCTTGAGCCAGTTCCTTGAGGAGTGAAACCACATCATCTGAGGATCCAAGCGTATACCGAGCATTTGTTCGGGTTCGGCCAACGGCACAAGAGAAGTAATTCTCCTTCTTGAGGTCAAGCACATTCCATGAGATCTTCTCAGGTGCCAGCCTCCTTGGTGCACTGCAAATATGGTTTGTGTTTTTCTTGTCAGAATTTGACACAGGCCTTTGTGTCTTATTTGGAGATGATTTTGTTCCAGCTTTAGTACTGCTTGTGATCTTCAGAGATTGTCGTCTCTCAGCAGGAGACTTGGCTACTTCCGGCACCTTGTTTCGTGGACCACCCACGCCACCGGAAGGAAGCTCCGGCTCGAAGAAGGAATAAACATCTTCATCCTGCTGAAATCACTCAAGTGAATTGAGGTTGTACTACACTAGTCGTATCAAGGAGACAATGCCACAAAGTTTGACATTGGACCAACTAAATATATACAAGGGAGAATCACCGTGCATTCCCACACAAGTAATTTAAACACTAAAAAGTCCCTTTCAGCCCAATGTAAGTAATTTATCACTAAAAAAGTCTCTTAAGTTGTTAGCAATTTAGTATGCTATGACTCATTGTCATTTTTTACACCAGCTCTTGTCATCGCATGCTGCTCACTCGTTGTGGGACTTTTTAGTGATTAGATTGCTCATGTGCTGACAGCATAGTAATTCTCCCTATGCACAAGGGTTGAAATTCTGATTTGCAAGCAAGGTCTTTATGGTGAACAACTAGGCAATTAGTGATAAAACAAAACTAACGTGCATGACAACATGCTCAAGGAGCACGCTCATTAGACAGATAAACAAGGAGATAAAGATTAAAAAAATGATCCGCAGTAGATATAATGTCTATGTAGAAATCACCTTTGATAGAAAATGTCCTATACATAGAACATAATCGATTGGTGCTGTCATGGATTTACTGTGAACTATCTCACCCAAGATGCGGTCAATTGCTGCTCCCTGATTGGAGAAGTTTATAGCCGTATAAGAATTCCAGGTGATAACAGAACTGAGATATCCAGAATTATTAGAATGAGAGGTCACCTTCGTAACGCCAACAGCTCGCACTTCAACTGATCGGCTACCTTGAACAACATCAACTGATGCATTGGAAATTGGACCAGTCCAGAGATGCTGCAACATGTCCCTTGCCTGAAGTCTTCCAAACTCAACATCTGCAATTGTGGCGAAAGGATAAGAACTGAAAACATAGGAGGAGAAACTTGAAATGTCTCCGAAGAAAAGAAAACAAAATATGTACCTGCATATTTGTAGTTCCATACAAGCGAGGTCTCTCTTTCTTCCAAATCAAAATGAGACCGGGGGGTTCTTTCTGTGAAGTATTCAAAAACATGCTGAAAATACAGGATCAGTATTGTAAGTTGATAGCATGAACAGAAGGGACAGTAATGACAGAAAACTGAAACATCAATATACCTTCACACTGTCAACCCATTCCATATTCAGATGCTCTGGCATCGTTGTCATCCATTCTCCCTTTGCAGGGCGTAAAAACATCCCGTTCTCTGCTGCTAGCCATATGTTATATTCCTTAAAGTTCTGAAATACAACCTAGTCAGAAAGACAATCAAGCAGCTTATTGAACAAGGGAAAGTGCCAATATTTACATTATATAGGACATTTCGACCACTTCCGCTAAGCACAACAATTGTGGTATTCGGGTCATTACAAAGTGCTGTCAACGATTGTTTTAATTCTGGATGCACCTTCAACTCCATTTCCTTAATCTGATCGCCTTTCTTTTCGACTGGTTCGGTTAAAGTTGCATTGAATCCCTGTAGGTCATATCATCAGGGTCAAGAGGAAATGCTAAACAGAATAATCATGATGAATGCTACAGTTCATAATTTACTAGTTGTGAGACACTGAAACAGAACCAAAAACTATCCAGTCCCCCCCCCTCCAAAAATATTCCTTTATTTGCTTTCTGATCTACAAAATAATGGGAACTCAAACTTAGGAATTAAACACATATATCAAAAAGTCTCCTTATATCATCTATCTATCTCACACACAGACGCAAATAGAGGTCAATGAATATTTAATTGAACATATTCACTTATTAGCATATAGTTCCCATGGCTACTGATTTCTCATGAGAGTCTTTCTCCTTGTCAATTGTTATGCGACAACTCATGTTGGCTACTGTCTTCAATTCTAGCCATTATTATAACCTTCTTAAATTTATCCTTGGTAACTAGAAAAACATTATATTCTCGACAAGGAGAACAAGTTTTATGAAAGAAAAATATTCAGGGAATCAATAAGCTTCATGTTGAGACAACATACCAATATAAGCAATCGATTAGTTGACTGCAGATAACGTTCAATTGTAGTCTTGGTTGGAAGTTGGGGTGGAACTTGTCTTGTCCTTAGTTGCGCCTCGACCACAGTATCATTTAGTTCACTGTAAAGCAGTCATGAATAAATTTTCACTGCAGCATCTATCAAAAATATACAAGCAAGAAAACTTATTACCTAATAAAATATTTTATTTAGTAAATCAAAACACCATCCCATGTGTTCTACTATCACATTTAAATTTGATGCTGGGCCCATACTCGAAATTGTATAGCAACAGAAACCTTTTAAGATAGGATAGAATTAGTTAGGTATCAGGAGCAAGAAGATGGCTGCTTTCAGATACAAGACTTAAGAAGTCTGCACTTCAAAACGGCTTGCGAGCCTAGCACTTATAGGAATCAACATGCTTTAGGAGGTTATTATGCCCTAGTGGGTTACACTCACACATAAATGGAGCGGCTAATCTATCAGAACAGGCATTTAGAGCACTGATATGCATACCTTACGAAAGTCTCCGCCCATTCTTGAGCAGTGTGGGTTGTCACATGTACATAATTGTGCTTATGACGTTTCTCTCTTTCCCCAGATGACATATTTAGTGCCTCGGCAATGGCGGCTGCAACTTCTGTGATGTTCCAGGGGTTAACCAGAATTGCTCCTGCACCTAGAGACTGTGCAGCGCCAGCAAACTACAAGTATAACAAGTTTCAGGCATGGAACTACGGAAGAGATACATAAGCAAAAGAGAATATAAACAAAGCAGAAGGGAGCTCTTTATCAACCAAAATTATGACTGAAATTCTTTACCATGACATTAGCAAAAGGAGAAGAAATTTAAAATTCATCATCTATTCAAATCACTTCTAACAGCAGAAGCTTCAGAAGTGCAGATATTTCCAAGAGGCTTGACATTGGAATTAGAAGTAATTTACTTAATGAATTTTCAAATTGATTATCGTGAGTATGACAGAATATAGTTAACAATGGGGCTCCGAATTTCCTATTACAGAGGTCGTCAAGTCACATGACAAAACTTGGCAATGTCTCAAGTGTTTTGGTATAAAATGGCTTTTAGTTATACGAGTCATGTTGAACAGGTTTGGAAAAGGCAAGCTAATAAAAACAATGCTTGGTAGCTTAGAGAACATTGCTACAATCTAACCAATGGCTAAAGTCAGCAGCATTTGTTCACTCGGGAAAGGGGGGGGGGGAGTCAGCAGCATTTGTTAGATTCATGTATTATTGGGGGTGGGGATGGTTTCTGAGGGAATAAAGAATTTTTGAAGTATCATGCCAGTAGTATCAGAAATAGTTTAGAAAGAATCATGACGCAACTAAAATGAAGAAAATAGAGATTTTCATGTCCCTACATTTGAATATATATTACCTTCTGAACAGCACTTCAAAATTAGAATAATGTGCATTAAAAAGTTAAATACAAGGACAAAAAAATCTGTAATTACTTCACTAAGAATGAGAACCCCTTTCTTTTTCTCCTGGCAGGCCACAAATTCATAACTGACAAGATTCATCCCATCCCTCAAAGATGTGACCAGTGCTACGTCTGTGTAAGAGATCGGTTAGAATACAATCAGTGCAAGTGTAACTATAAAACTTGAAAACAAGCAATAAAGTTTTCACGCTTCAGTGACAATTGAGAACTCATGTAACTATGAAATCGCCGAAAATATCTTGTGTGCCTCAACTTTCAAATAATAGATGTATTAACATAACAAATTACCAGTGGCCAATGGACACTAGGTGTAATTGACAGCTCTTGCCAAATGGAAAATGGATTTCATGCTGTTATTCTCTAGTAAAGTTGTTTCACATCAATCAATAGTTATTTTTCCTGTTACGCAAGGCATGAAGCACCATAAAGTACTCTCAACATACTGAAGAAAGTTACCTTTCATCAAACACCATAATGATAATAACTATGGGGTGAACAGTGCAGATTAAACGTTACAACTTACAAAATGAGCAAAACATGTAATTAAAAAATAAAAAGCAGCATAAGAAGTTCATGCTCGTAAAGGCATGTAGGTTCTAATGCAACTTCATATTGTTGATGGTTGACAAAACGACAAGAAAAGAGGCTCAGAAAGCATGACTGTTCAAATTGGACAGACAAAAGGTGATAAACCCATTAAGTAATATTTTAGAGAGAGCCTTTAACCAAAAAATTTAATAAACAAAGAACAAAATATGTACCAGTAACAGCATATAAAGCACACAGTTTATAAAAATCAAGCGAACGATCCTGCAAACAGAACAAACACATTAGATAATTTAGTATCATCATTAATAAATTAAAGATTGATAACAAATAAAGGATCAAAATAAATAAATGTCTAATGTGATTTTCATATAAATTACTTATGTAACAATTTGAACTCAAAAGATGTGAGTAAAGGTTGTATACTGAATAATTGCTAGGTTCAAACATCCAACGTGTCCGGTCTTTTGTACAAGCCAAAATCAAAATTAATTTTATCTAAGATCAACTGTTTTTAAAAAGAGAAAAGAAAGACAATTAAGTAAGTAATGCTGCCACTTGTTGATTATTAATCCATTTGGATTACAATGATCTATTGCAGTCAATAATTGGACACCAAATTTGCACCGCACCCAACTTTGAAAAGGTGATGTTTGGCGCCACAAAAAGAGTTAATATACTTATTCAACAGAAATAGTATACGAAATTTAGAATCCTCTTTGTTTCACTGGGCTGGATTATTTCTTTCACAATAGTAGACACAGAATAAGGTCAGGCCACAGTACTAATGTCCAACCACAATTTCATCCAAAATAAACTTGTCCATAACTTTTCCATTTCCTCAGTGAGATACTGGTTATTGACATTGTACCGTTAAAAACTAACTCCTCTACAGTGGGAAACATCAATGTTAATCAGATGATCACTGAGTTAAAACCTCACCAGGTGATGTATAGGAACAGTAGTCAATGATCCAAATCTTCCATTAATGCGACCAACAATTTCATGAACCTGGCTTGTAAGCTTTTGATCTGGGAAAATGCAAGAAATGAAATCACTTCATGATCCGAAAGAGAATTAAAAACTCAACATATGGGATGGGACAATGAGCTTTCATGGAAATACTATCTCAATCAAAACAAAAGACATGGTAAAAAAGGTAGGATGACCAGCCGTCAGTCGAATGCAATATTCCCGAAGAAAGTGCTCTGATGCCTACCAAATAGGAGAAAATTACTTTCCCTAACTCAATCCCTTTCTCTAACTCTGATTCCCCTCTACCAAAAACGGCCTTATGGTAATTGAGAATGCCAAAAGAACCTTCTCAGAAATAATGTTTCTTTTATAATAAAGCAGCCAAATATTCCCAATTCAGTTCTAAAATACCTGAAGCGCTTTTGTTCTTGGTACGTTGAGAGGGATTGAACCCTTAGTCACTACCCACAGCCCACGCTATTTTTACCTCAAAACTTGTGTTAGCACCATGTTATTTATGTCAAATAAACCAGCAGAACTCTTGAGTTCACAAAAGATAGACTCAGTCATTTCAGTATCTAAGTATCAACTTTCAACTCAGTGCTAGTTTTTCAGTCTTGCCAGAGAAGCAATTTTACATACGTTTCATGTCATAGCATATCTCCAACATATTATAATAGGCAGCTTAGGAAATATCAATCTGCCCCTTATAGGACATGAGCAATATTGTAAAAGATAAGCCTATTTTGTGAACTTTTATACTGTAGAAGGCTCAAAAGGAAAAGTAACATGAGCATACACTCAGGAACATCTGTTCTTGTTGGCACAGCAATTTGAAGCAAAACTACTTTATCACGCCAATAAGCATTCTCTTCCAAAAACTTTTCAAATGCTAGAATTTTCTGGGGAATCCCTTTAATCATATCAAGGCGATCAACACCTAACATTACCTGTCATGCCATGAAAATGTTAATAAGTCAAAAGAATGTACTAAATTAAATTTAATCATGCTCAAATGAACTAAAACAGAATAACATGAAGCTTCGTGTTAACAAACAAAATTTATGTAGCGAAAGAAACATCTTTGAAAGCATGTTTTATCTTTGAAGAAAGCAACGTAAATTTGATAGACATACCATTGTGTAGGGTTTAAGGGTGGCTAAGGAAGGAAGTTAGTTAGGGATTAACATAAATAGAGGAAGATGAAGGTGTAAGGAGTGTCCAATGAGTGAATAATATATTTCTACCTTTTTTTTTTTTGGGTAAAATATATTTCTACGTTTTCAGTGCATGTATAACTACAAAAGCACTTTACTCATTGAATATCTCACAGTGATAACGTGGCATATACTTGCCAAAAATTGATAGTGAGAACCCTGGCAATTAGACTGATTCATAGAACCTCTGATTAAGAGATGACAGGTGACAGATTGCCATCTGACCCATCAGCCCTTTGGAATTAACAATAGGAAAAATAGTTTTAAAGAGGAAGCACTGATTTTTATATGCATAGTTGTTACCCCTAAAAGCTTATTTTACTTGATATCTACTTGAAAATAACAGAACAGCAAATACTCCTAAAAACAACACTTCACAACCAAAGGAAATAATAATAGCTAAAATACTCCACAAAAATAAAAAATAAAAAATTGATCCACGGCAACTAAATAACTCAGATGTTAGAAACTCAAACATATCAAATACGGTAAATTTTGAGCATACTAATAATTAAAAAAAGCTTCATTATATGCTGATGGTAACGATATTATAGTTCCATAGTGATGAGCAACTATGGCTTAGTGGGTTACTTCTACGCTGTTTAAAGAAAGAGGATTCTGAGGTCACTTAGAAGTTTCCCATGCTTTCATAAGATTAGACTGTGGCAACAATGGTTGCCCTTCCTTGACACCATGTCCTCTAACCAAAAGCATAATGTGTGTATATATATATTTTGTGTAAAATATTGAGTGGTATAACACTGTTCAACACTGACATGAACCTAAAAGCCATAATTCATCCAAAAAAGAAAGGAAAAAAAAAAAGTCGTGCAAAATAACTTAAAAATTTTCAAAGTTAGTAGGATTAATATGTCAGTCAACATCAGAAAATCATATGGATATTCACTACAAAGAATTACATATACCTTTCTACCCTCAAATCTTTCTTCCAATTCTTTGATATCATTCTTCACTTCAGTAAGCTCAAGGGCACGTCTGAATCGATCAGAGTCTATCCCAATTGGAAACTTAAATTCAAATGCACAAGAAATACACAAGCAAGTTGTCAGAATAGTCATGGTAAAAGGTAAAAGACCTAAGTTAAAGATGAACATTTAAAAAGCTTTTCTTTCCTTTTCCCCACAGTTTCTTCTTCTCATGGATGAGTTTTAGAGCAGAATTCCAATAAGTAATGTCAAAGTGCTGTGCATAATAAAATGTAATGCTGATTTTATTGATAAAAAAATACAGGCACTTACTGCAGCAACTCGAGTCAATCTCCCCTGGTCCTCAACCCCTTCAGGAGTGCCCTCAAGTCCAAGAATGCGAGTACAGGCACTAACAAAATGGCGGGCATAATCATAGGTGTGAAATCTGTTTGAAAGAAATTACAATTGCACATATCAGAAGCAATGACCATACTGGAATATAAATCTTAACATACATAATATAGCAACAACCATATATCGGATCCTTGTTGACAAATAGTTTGAGTTGGATGGACAAGATATTGTATAACTTCCAAAACTGTTTTGTCCAAAGGTCTCATAAATCATTGATAGTCCAAAACAAGCATGCACATATTTATCACATTTACTTTAATTAAAGGACGTTCAAACATAGAGTCAGACCATCCTTAATGAGCCTCATTCCAAGTCATAGGAGCATATTGCAACATACCCTACTAAATCAGCAGCAAGAACAGAATGAAGGAGCTCTGAACGTGATGGTAATGTCCTATGAATTTCAGAAGATGGAAATGGCGTGTGAAGAAACCAGCCAACTTTCATTTTATTGTTATATTCCTTTAAACATTTTGGAAGAAACATGAGATGGTAGTCATGGCACCAAACAACATCACCCTCTTCGTAGTGCTCGTTCACGACATCAGCAAACATTTGGTTTGCTTTCTTGTATGCTGCAAACTGAGACTGGAAGCTCCGTGTAGTAGCAAGGCGATCTTCTTGGGGTAGTCCAAGGTAATGAAAAAGGGGCCACAAGATGTTATTGCAGTAACCATTATAATATTGGTGAACAATCTCTTCATCAAGAAACACTGGAATGCACCTCTGCAATGTAGGTAAGAAGAGGAGAACATAATTCATAATAAACAATGCAGAGTAAAGGATGGGATATTAAACATACACACAACAGAAATTTTCTAGTGCAGGGGGTTTTGTACCTTTTCAGCCAAAGCTTTAGTAAGTGCCTTCTGTCCAATCTCGTCTGGCACGTTGACACCAGCCCACCCTATCCACCTTGCCTCAAACTCCTTCACACCTTGGTTGAATAAGGCAGTCATATTTCAGTTTAAATAAACCAATGCCGAACATGATAAACCGTCTTAAACAGAGAGTTGTAGAATCATATGCAACTTCAGTGAATACTACTTACAATTATTTTTTTTGGGGGGGGGGAATTGGGGGATGTTGCTGTGAAGAAAAAATGCATTAGGGACAGGATTATTCATATAATTACGTACCTAAAAGAGCGGTAACTAGACCTCCAGCACTAATCTCCAGAGACCATGAATCTTCGCCTCTCCTAACTGCTGAGACTGGCAGCCTGTTGGCCACCACCAAAAGTCTATAAGGCCTCCCATCTTGGCTTTCACGTCCCTGATAAAGACCCCTTGCAGTTGCCTCCAGGTATTGCGCATTAGAAGTTCCTGAGTTATTATCTTCTCTTAAACGCAGGTTATGCTCAAACGGTTTAGTAACCCTATTATTATTATCAGCTGACTCATTGAAATGAGAAGCCCTGGTGATTTTTCTTAGTTCTCTTTCTCGGACAAGTCGTTCAACACGACCTGGAAAATGATTTGGATTACCGTTATACTTATTCCCAGGCATACGCTCACTCTGGAAGCGAACCGGGGAATATCAATGTCACCAAACCGTACCCAAGTCCTCGGAGCAACTTCCTCGCCTGCATTTTGTTAAGGAGATTAACTTTATACGAAATACAGTAGACAAACAGAATTCTAAAGCATAACCAACTCAGTGTCTAATAGAACAGAGCGTAAACTAATGGATCTAAACACAGAGTAGAAAGGAACGCGAAAATTAGAGAACCATAGACGAACATAATCCACTCACCGAAATTTAAAACCCGAAAGGTTCATAAATAAATTGAAAGAGTATAGATGGACAAGAAGAACGCATACCCTACCAATTAGGGGGTGCCATGACACTTAGGCCATGGAGTTGCAAATTTCGCTCTCATAAATTAAACGCAGAAAAATAGAAGTAGCACAATTGCCACAGAGTAGGGAGGAAACTTAGGAGGGTATTGGGTGAAACGCTGGCCATGGAAGCTACTTCATTCAGGTGAATTCCAAACACATTGTACGAAGCAAAGTATAGAAACACCACGACAGCAGTCTTCCATAAAATCAGTTGACACTTGAACAAGAGAAGGTTCTGTCCAGAAAATCTAGGGTCGTCGTCGTCACCTGTTTCTGGTTCACCAAGCCAATCTCCGAGGTGTTCAACGGCACGAGTTTAAAAACGGGTTAGAGTGAAAGGATTACGGACAGTGAGATAAAGAAATTGGGAGAGGGTGAGAAATCCTTTCAGCAGAATGCGAATGGCGGAGAATTAATAACATTAACATAGTGAGCGGCGTATGAAAATATGGAATAGAATGGTCGTGTAATTATACAATGAACATGCAGTTGACACCGAAGACTCTTCAGCTGAAACCTTGAAGACCGGGAGAGAGCAATTTACCGATGAAACTAAATACACGTCTCGTACTCGTAACTCGCAATCGCAAGTCCTGACTTGTCTTTTAAATAAAGTTGCGCAAAAACGCCTCCATCCACTGTACTCAACATGGAAGTTCCTTTGTAATAATATGCTCCTCTAATCTTATTTATAAATTACTTCTTCCAATCCTAATTATAAGAGCCAGTTGACTAATTTGAGGAGATTAAGGAAGTAAGTTGAATTAGTTATTTGTCCTAAATAGGTGTTATCTTTCTTAAGATATCCCTGCTAATCAAGTGTCTTGACTAGAACTATCATTGTTAGAAAGGCTATTTTGAAAAAAAAATGTATAAATATGAGAGATAAAGTGGATTGGGGTTTTATATTTAGGATCAAAATCAAAATCAAATAAGATCTTATATTAAGTACCGGAGGTAGTATTTTTTAACATGTTTAATACTGACTGAAAAAAATATTAAACTTTATTAACTCTCGTTTAAAATTTAACAACTTTTCAACTTTATCCATATTTAATATATATTATACTTAATGTAAACAAAGTCAATATAATAATAAATAAAAGGTAAAACTGCATATTTATACAAAAAATTTCTCTTAGTGCTCTATAAATGTGACCAAAAAATTTCTTCTCTCCCTCTCTTAGAAATAGTTGTAAATAATAATAAATTATAAAAATTGGATTATTTATACTTTATAATTATAATTTTTTGAGTAGTATAGTTTATAATATACCCGTTACATGTAACTAAAAAAATAATATGGAAAAATAATACAATGTTGCTCTACGTACACCACAAATCAGATTAGGGCGTTGACTATTGCTAAAAAATACTACCTTCGGTCTTTAATATAAGATCTTGTTTGACTTTTATTTTGGTCTTAAATATAAGAACTCAATCTACTTTCTCTCTCATATTTATACATTTTTTTTCCAAAATAGCCATTCTAACAATAATAGTTCTAGTCAATACACTTGATTAGCAGGGATATTTTAAGAAAGATAACACCTATTTAGGACAAATAACTAACTCAACTTACTTCATTAATCTCCTCAAATTAGTCAACTGGCTCTTATAATTAGGACCGGAGGTAATAACATCAACATGTTAGCTCTAGAAATTGGTTTCTTAACAAATACAGCTGCAAAAAATTTAATCCAAATTGATCGCAAATTCTGAAAAAAAAAAAAAAGTTTTATATAATATACATGAGTTTTATTATATTGGACGCCATAAGCGGAATGAGGTTATTCCCGTGCCCCGTGCGTGTTTGTGTGTGTGGGGTAGTCTATATTCAAAAGCAGAGACGTGCATGCAGTTAGTACTTTTGGTTTTAATTATAAGATCTTATTTATACTCTATAAATAAAATCTTACAGTTAAGACATGAGGTAGCATATCATTGATGATTCCCTATTGTCCAATTCATATAGGGCCTTGATTTTGTTAACCTGATAAGGTATCATATATTCTAGTTTCATGTGAAAGACGACGGGAGACTAGCTTTCTAAAGTCCATAATAAGGACTGCGCGCTACCATAATATCCCTTGTCCGGCGGAGAAATATAATTTAACACTATCTCCTCCTATAGGAAGGGGACCCACACTCCTGCCCCTATTTTAGCAAAGTGAGGTATATATGAAACTCACAAAGAAGGTTTGGGTTGCTATTGGCGAGCTGCAAGCATAAGTGTTATTAAGCATGCAATTATCCAATTCATGTGCATGTATTTGTAATTTTTGTTAACTTATTCAAACTAATATTATATTAGATATAAGGGTGGCGGCCAGTATAAAAATGCATGGCTGCAAGTGAAGTGACCACATCAGAAAACATTCTGCAGCAAACAGGACGTACTGCTAGTAAATGAGAACAAGAGCATGCCTGCACACAGACAAAGTAAACGTTGTCTCTGACACTAAATGTAATACTCATTTTATATTTATTTTGTACTCTAAAATAAGTCTTATATTTAGGATTGTAAGAGTATATATATTTTCAGGTGATAGAAATATATATATTCACTACTACAAAATATGTTATTTTCGTTTGTCCTAAAAACTCTTTTTCGTCTGTTTTGAGCAAAACGTTGATAAATGACACGTGGATAGTAATTATATCTGGTTCTTAATATAAAATTTAGTTTGTAATAGATAAACATTAGGAGTATATCAAACCAAGGGAAAGGAAGATATCTACACAAATACACACACATATAATTAACTCATGCATGCATGTGACAAAATAGACAAGCAGGTCAAGGGATAAGCGACAAAACTCTGCAGTGAGCCAAGCAAGAAGGCATGAGACAAAAGTTGTAATTTTCTCTGATAAAATATTGCAAGTGGAGCTGGCACAATTGCTGTCAACGACGACACGTGGGATTCTGCTTTCAAAAGGAGGAGGGACCATTCAAATTCTACATGGCGGCCAGGGGATTTCCCCTAAGTAATAAACTTGTCATACATGCAGGGAAGGATTAATTGGCACCACATATTTATGATATAAGGAGCATTTTAAAAAAAAAAGTTTTAAAAATTTAATTAAAATATGATAGAAAGGTAGAAAAAATATAGTTCTTTAATTCTAAATATAAGACCCATTTTGTGGTGTAAATTACACAACAAAATAGATATTATATTTAATACCAGAATAGTACAAACTAATGTGTCATTTTAATAACAAAACATTAGGTTGATTCTTCGAGAATTTGTTATATATTTTTCATAATAGAATATCAAAAGTATCCGCAAAAATCTAATCCATCTTTTGTGCAATTATTCATGTTTCAGAGGATGAGAAATTGGACACACACACACTCTCTCTCTCTCATGCTTTTTTATATTTATTTTTTCCCCTAAAAATCCATCTATTGTTCTCAAAGTGCCCCCCGGGGGGATTCACTCAAAAAGAAAAAAAAAAAAAAAAGTGCCCGGGGGGAAGGGCCCAGCAAAGATTGAGGTATATTTCTGTGGGAAAAAGCACATAAGAACATTGTCCCAACTCCCAAACATTATAATGCTGAAAAGTTTGACACTTTTGGCCCCGGTGGTAAAGATGGCTAGAACCCAGGAGAAAAAAGTTTGAAACGTTTGACTAGACATACGGCGCCTGTGGATTTACTGGGGAAAGCAGCAAAGTTTGATTGAAATTGGCTGTCTTCAAAAAAAAAATATAAACATGGCGCAAACATTTTGAAAACACGTAGCTTTTATGGTAAAGAAAAGCATAATATTACCAAACTTTTATCATGTGATTTATCGGTAAAGTGTCTTTGGCCATCATTCTGACCAACTGAGGAACTGTACCATGAAGAGGTTATCAATTGTTATTTTAATTTCTTTCATACACAATAAATTTAGGAGAGTTGGATATATAGATCCCATTTGATATGAAGCATTAAAAATAAAAGGTAAAGATTAATATTGAGATTGAGAAAGTATATTAAAAGAGTATTTAGTATAAAATATTTTTTATTATATGGGATTGGACAAACTTATATATATAAGATTGGAGAATACCATAAGAGGAGGTAATATTTCTCATTTCCCAATGGATTTGCCTAATCCGATATAACAAACAATTACTCATGTTAAATACTTTTTTAATGATTTTTCTCAATTGTAATCACAATCTTTATCTCTAATTTTCAATGTTTTGTAGTAAAAGGGACCATAGAGTATGCTTTAAAACTAAAAAAGTACTTACAAAGACACTAATAAATTACCTACCAAGAAAGTTGTCACCTCAAAGTAGTATTTTGAATTTATAACTTCGTAAATTATGAGCTAACTGAAATGATTTTTTTTTTTTAATTTTATTTTTGAGTCTTTCTCATGCAATTACTTTGTCGTGCAGTGTCTGCTCCACTAGAAAACGATATGATTTATCCACGGAATCCTGAGAATTGACTACCGTCCACATGAACTCTACTTTTCCTGACCCATCTGAGTCTGGTGTCGATCGGTACCAGCTTTAAAGTATGCACAAGTAAAGTTTAACTCCCAACGCTTTTAGATCAAAGGACAAAGCAAATCTCTATGACTAAGAAATAAGAACTTCAATACCCGTTTAACCTGAAGTGTAATGAAGATTCTATGTACTTCTATGGCTATCGTTGGCTAAGATACGACATTCCAGTACACTGCGTCCAACACTGTCTCACTATTTTAACTCAAAATATCAAATCTATGAGCAAGAGACAAGAAGTTAAATTTTCCTGGGAAATAATTAAGGTCCAACATGTTGCTCAATTCATTAAAAGCATTCGTCCTTCACAGCAAGGAAAGTAACTTATTTTCCCTAATATAACTTCAGTTTATATATCTTATGTTTTCTGGATTGGGATTCTGAATATAATCAAATCTTATGGGTTTCCAGGGACTCCGTGGAGCCCCTCTAGTCAACTCAATAATGAAGAATCATCTGCTACTTCTGGTGTATTTCACCTTGGAAATGAGAGAGAGCTTCAGGAAAGTGCTGGTTTTCAGGGCCCATCATTTATGTTTTATGGGATCCACAAACTCCTTCACATGGGCATGTGCTTGTTTGAATAACATGTTGTAGCTGATCATATGAGTAGATAACTTCCATCTCATCGAAGCTTCTTTAAAAGAGATGGCTCAATTCATTTACACCTCTCTTTTTTTTCCATTAAAAAAAAGTTTAAAAAGTGCTTACAAAGATACTTACAGATCACCTACCAACAATATTCTCACATCGACTGCAGAATTCAAACTCATGACTTTATAAGT